GGGATGGAGGTTATGCATGGGCTCAGCAACATGGACTTCCACTTACCAAGGCTGATTTGGCTACCGCCACTGCTGAGTGCCCAATCTGCCAGCAGTAGACCAACACTGAGTCTGCAATATGGAACCATTCCTTGGGGTGATCAGCCAGCAAAGTGGTGGCAGGTTGATTAGATTGGACCACTTCCATCATGGAAAGGACAGCGTTTTGTTCTTACTGGAATAGATACCTATTCTGGATATGGATTCTCCTTCCCTGCACACAATGCTTCTGCCAAAACTACCATCTGTGGACTTACAGAATGCCTTATGGACCATCATGGTATCCCACACAGCATTGCATCACATCAAGGGACTCACTTCAGAGCAAATGAAGTACGGCAATCGGCCTATGCTCATGGAATTCACTGGTCTTACCACATTTCCCATCATTCAGAAGCAGCTGGCTTGATAGAACGATGGAATGGGCTACTGAAAACACAATTACAGCATCAGCTAGGTGGCAATACCCTGAAGGGTTGGGGCAATGTTCTCCAGGAGGCTGTATATGCTCTAAACCAGCATCCAATATATGGTGCTGTTTCTCCAATAGCCAGGATTCACTCATCCAGGAACCAACAGGCAGACCACCTTGCTGGCGGTTGCCCAGGGTGACCTGTCATGAAGTCAATCATACTGGTTAAGTCCCCATGGGTCCCCAATGTATAGATAGGGAACAAATCAAGCTCCTGCTCCAGGAGGCTGACCAACAAAGTTGGGGCCTCAACAGCGAGCTACCAAAGGAGGCCCAACAGGTGGAAATTGGAGTGGTACTGCTCACTATTATCCCTAGTGACCCATTCAAAAAATTTTTGCTTCCTTTCACAGCTACCTTATGCCCTGCGGGATCTTAGCTCCAAAGGGAGGAACACTCCCACCTGGAGACACAATACTCATTGCATTGAAATGGAAATTAAGAATGCCACCCGGCCATTTTGGCTTCTTCATGCCTCTGGATCAACAGACAAAGAAGGGCATTACTGTACAATCTGGTGTGATAGATCCTGATTTACCAAGGGCAGATTGGATTGACATTACATAATGGAAGTAAAGAAGAATATGCCTGGAATACAGGAGATTCTTTAGGACGTCTCCTAGTACTACCATGTCCTGTGATTAAAGTCAATGGAAAATGACAGCAACCCAATTCTGATATGACTACTAATGGCCCAGACCCTTCAGGAATGAAGGATTGGGTCACCCCACCAGGAAAAGAACCACGACCAGCTGATGTGCTTGCTGAGGGCAAGGGAAATACAGAATGGGTGGTGGAAGAAGGAAGCTCTGAATATCAGCTACAACCATGTGACCAGTTGCAGAAACGAGGACTGTGATTGTTGTATTTCTCCATTGTATATGTGCATCAAATACTTTTGTTTCCTTCTGTTATGAACTGTGAAATGTAAATAAGGTTAATGTGTTTTGGTTGTACACGTGTTAGCATATCATGTTAGGTGCAAATATGACTTTATAATTGTCCTTATTTAGAGATTATATATGCTTAAGAAGATGTGTACAACTGCCAAGTTGACAAGGGGTGGACTGTATAGTTGGAGCTGTATGTCAACTTGGCTGGATCACAGTTCTGTGTGGTTTAGGCAACTGTGATGCGGGTTATTCCCATGATGGGATCATATGCATATGCTTTGAGCAGACAATCCACTGAAAGGGGGTTTCTCTAGGGGTGTGTCTTGCTTCCAATATTTTTATGGATATCCTGGGAAAAGAGACACTCTTCTGTGGATTTGGATTCTGTTGTGCTGCCTACAACTGTCTTTGAGCAAACAATCCACCATTCCACCTGGAGATCTTAGATTTATCATTCCTTGGAGTCAACAGCCAGTGTACTGCCGGCCAACTTTGAGCTTGTCAACTCCTGCAGCCGTGTGAGTCAGGAAAAGCGTCCAGCTTAACATTTGATCCAAGAACTTGGGACTTGCCAGCTTCTATAAATGTGTGAGCCATTTTCCTAAGATAAATTTCTCTTTCTCTGTATGTATATATAAGCTTTACTGGTTTTGCTTCTCTAGAGAACCTAGTCTAAGACAAGGAGCAAGCATGGAAGGATACAAACAGGGAAAACACACAGCTTTGCTATCCTGAAGTTATCATTCCCATTGAGGTGAGTGATAGACAAGCCAGAAATTTCAAAGGGAGATCCTGGAACAGAATGAGCAATAGGTCTCTATACATCCTAGCTGTCTGGAAAACTAAGTACATGTACAAGTGAGATCTGAGAGAGCACAGTGGGAAGTCAAGCCAAGACAGACTGAGAACCTGCTTCAAATTTGAGCTCCCTAACCCTTACACACAGATCACATGCTAGTGGGTAGAGGCCCTACAGGCTTATGGTATATGAGCACAACCTCTGCCCTAATTACTGGCTAGGCATGAAGTTATGAAGACACAAGGGCAGTCATGTTAAAAAGTAAATATAAGAGTTAAGAAATTGAGCAGAGACATCAGTGGAGAAACAGATTCAGTAGTGTAAGTCCAGGCAAATTATTTCTTTGAAAGCCTCCAAAAAATCAGAATTAAGAGTTGCTACAAGACATTATTTTAATGTCTACTTTTCAACAAAAATTATAAACCATGCAAAGTAAAATGAAATGTAAAAAAGTTGTCAATGTTTACTGTGTCTGAGTGGGCAGAGATTTTGGATTTAGCAATGACATCAAAGCAGCCATTATAAATTCTTTCAAAAAATGAAATTAAAATACACTCAAAGAATTAAATGAAATTACAGTGATAATGACTCAACAAATAAAGAATCACAACAGAGAAACAAACTATTTTAAAAAAAAGGAAATTCTGGAATTGAAAAGTACAATTATCAAAATGAAAATTTGCTAGATGGGCACAACAGCAAATTTGAGATGGCCAAAGAAAGAATCGGTGAATTTGAAGATAGATCAACAGAAATGATCTAATCTGGAGAACAAAAAGTAAAAAAAAAAAAACATTGGAGAAGTGGGTCACAGCAGAACCAAGTTTGGTCCCAGGAGTCCAAGCACGTTTCAGGAAGAAGAGAGGGCCATCTAAACCTAGGGTGAAGAATTTCTCAATTTTAAGCTTTTTATTCATTTTTTAAGATAAATAATAATAGCACCCATATATCACAGAACATGAGGATAAAATGAATTAAAACATGTAAAGCACTTAGAACAGCATGTGGCACTTGACTGCTAACTAGAAGGCTGGCAGTTCAAACCCACCAGCAACTTCTCAGAAGGAAGATGGGGCAATCTACTTACGTAGTGATAGAGCCTCAGAAACCCAAGGAGGGGTCGCTATGAGTCGGGTCCAACTCAACGGCACATAACAACTATGACAATAACATCATCATTATCATCATCATCATAATATACTCTTCACTAGGAGAGGAAATCATGGCTACTCTGACATCAACACTATATAGGGAAAGTAGCTAGGAAGAAGGGGAACACATGTTAATGCCTGCTGGATGGAAATTATTTAGCTATCAGTTCTTTGACACTGATTACCTCAACAAATATCCTTGAGAAACGTCATAATTTTATAATTATTCCCACATTTCTAATCATATTTTACTTTTAAAATACTTACTCTTTTTTCTGCAGGAGACAGATGTGACAGTCTGCTCTCGTAAAGATTACAGCCTTGGAAACCCCTATGAGGCAGGGTCATGATGGGTCAGAATCAACTCAGTGGCAGTGGATGGATATTCCTTTTTAAGATCTTGAAAGTTTCTACCTGAGTGTGAAATTCTAGAGAAATGTTTTTTTTTTTTTTTCTATTATTCACAACTAGATCTAGAAAGAACTTTAACATTTACATCCTAAGAAGCTCTCTCTCAAATGTACTGATGTTAGGAGTATGGAATCCACAATTAGACTGAAGAGCTGAATCACATAATAGCAGAAATAAGAGTTGCCAAAACATAACAGAAATAAGATTTTGCTAAACCAAGAAAACTGGCAAGCCAGCTACTCTGACTTGAGGGGAATTACGAAGTTTGATCCAAAGAGATTCTACTCCCCACCAACATATTTATCTATTTCACTTTGGGGTTTTTGTTTTGTTTTGTTTTTTTACTCACTCTGTTTTTGGAACTGCTTTTCTTAGCCAGAAGAAATCAGACTGTGCTAAATACTTGCGGGTTTGCAGGACGTTGCCAAAGTAGTCAGATTCTGAAAACTTGATCTGAATGAAACAAACCACAAGCATCATAGCATCATTGTTCTAAGTGAAGGTAAGAGATGGCTCTGAAATAAGATTTCAGTGAACCAATGAGAGGCCAGCCTAGAAGCATTGCCCCTCACAGCATCTCAGCCATTACCATTTAACCCAGTATTCACACAGCCATGAAATTTAATCTCAGTGATTTTCTTTTAAAATAAAAAGCTCAAAAATCAATAAGGTCATTTCGGAATCACAGCAGAAAACGAAAAGCTGCAGTAATTTACAATGAGTTTCATTTACTTTATAATTGAAAAATCTACTTTAACCTTTACAGAACATATTATCTTGAGTTTGAAATTTCTTGGCTCACCTGAGCCTTTGATCTTTTCTAAAATGTATACTTCATTTGTTACATAGGCTTTTCTAATAACAGTCAGTCCACTCAGCTGAAACCTCACTTAGCTTATAGATCATGATTTAGTCAAATGTTAAAGCCCAATTTACTATAATCAGCATTTGTTCATAAAGGAAAAAAAAAATGAAAGAGATCCAGAGACCACCCTAAGCACAAGAAGTCACCAGAATAATTTAATGATTAACAGAATGTATGTAGTAACACTCAAAAAAGGCTCTGGTCACTAAAACTTAGTGAAACTACAAAGGCAAATCATAGACTGTATCTTGCATGGGACATAGGAAATTAACAGCTTACACAACAGTAACATCCATTAAAATAAG